CTCAAGAAAACGTACTGTCATACAAGCAAAACAATACTGTCTTTTCGAATACAAAATTGATGCTAAATTCGAATTGTCCAATTACGAAATTTTTCGCATATATATTTTTTTAACAATTTGAATCAATTTTGAAGTTTAACTTATTTTGAAGTTTAAATTTGAAAAATTATATTTGTGATTCAAATTTTGAAATAGCCTGTTTAAGACAAGAACAAGAAATACAATTAAATAATTCATATAATTGTTAAATTTATAAATAAAATTTAAACTCTATAAATTAGAAACAAGAAAATCGAAAATATTAAAATCAAATTTAATTTTATTGTAAGAAAAAAATAATATTATTTTAGTTTAGGATTTCTTTGATATTATATAGATAAGTTCGTTCATGTTCAAAATTTCAAATATTAAATTTGATTGTGAAAACAATATTAGACAATGAATTAATTCCTGTTTGCAATTCTGATTGCGAGATATTAGAACTGCTATTAGAACTGAACTGCACTGCAATAGAACTACTAAAAAAGTGCTGCCAGTGTTAACAAAAACTCTGATGTCTGAAAGTTTGATTTACATTTTAATGACATTATTAGGTAATATTATATTGTAATAATGAGTTCTGTACTTAGTGAGGTTATAAATTAATATAAAAGCAGAAAAAAATTTTCCTGTATTGATTTGACACAAGAAATTTTTACGAACAAAAACGGAATGGATTTTGCGGCAAACTACAAAAACGTGCTGCCATTGTAGGTCTTTATTAAAACACACAATAATGTTAATTCAATCAATTTGGAGGGAAAAACGAGGAAATGATTTCTCATTCAAGATTTTTTCTTTTTTTTCTTAAATTACATTTTAGGGTTTGGTATAAAAAAGTGAGTAAGTAAGTAGAATTTTTTTTTCCATTTTTCTTGGGTTTTTCCAATTTTTTATTAAAATTTAATAAATTACGTATATAGTGATTTAAAAATAATTTGATTTTATTTGAAAAGGAAAAATTTTATTTTTATTGTATAAACGAATTGGTGATTTCCTTATTTTCTATATAATATTTGTATGTATGTATTTGTAAATCTAAACTTTTTTTTACCTTGTTTAAGTTTTAATAATTAAAAACATGAATTAATAAAATAATAATAATGAATTGATAATTATTTTTTCGATTTATTTAAAATTTTAAATTTTGAAGAATTTTTTCATGTTTTCATTTAAATTTTTTTCCTGTTTCTGATTGATTTTGATTTTTTAATGTCGACTTTATTGTTTTAAATTTTGCTTTTTTTTTTGAAATTATTTTGTTAAGAAATAAAAATTTTCATTATTTTTTTGTTTTTTTTTATAAATAATTGTAATTTCTCACTCATTTGATTTTTTGAATAATTTTAAGAAAATGTTTTTTTGTTATTATTTTTGTTATTCATTGTCCGTTTTGTCTTGTTTGTTTTGATGTGTGTGTGTATATAGTATGTGATTTGTTGAATTATTTTCATAGTTCTATAGTGTTTTCTATAGTAATTTGAATTCTATATATATAAAATGTTGATATCTTTTTATAAAATGTAAAAGAAAAAAAAAAAAATTTATAAATTTTATAGAAGATACTGATAAAACGTAATCACTTTTTAGGCGCATAATATGAATATTTTGTGTTTTTTTTTTCTTTACTTTTGTTTTTGTTTAATAATAATTTTATGGGAACTTATAATAATAATTATAGTAATAACTAATAACTATGCTCATACATTATATTTTTTTTTCCTTGGGATACATTCCGTTTCATGGTAATTCTTAATATTTTTTTATTTTTACTAAAATCTAGTTTGTATGTGAATTTATTTATTTATAATATTTTTTTTTTTTCATTTGTTTTTAATAAATTTTTATTTCAATTTATTTTTGTGTGTGCAAACAAATTATTCTTATTTTCTCAATTTTTTTTTTAATGATTTTTTTTTTCTTCACATTATTTTGTATATATGTATGTATGTATGTCGTAGTATTTAAAAATTCTTACATAATATTATAATTATTTTTTGTTTTTACTTATTTTTAAATTATAATTTAATTATACATTTAAATTATTTTTATTATAGTTTATTAATTTTTTTCAATTTCTTTTCCAAAATAAGAAAGAATGTGTACGTGTATTTTGTATTTTGTTTATTTTGTATTCTTAAATTTATAATTTTTTTTTTATAAAGTAATTTTATTGTATTTTTTTTTTTCACTTTAAAATTTTCATAGAAAAGACAGAAAGTTTTTTTTTTTTTGACTAATATTATTTCTACGTTTTTTACTTCCATTTTTAGTTCCTAAAATTTTAAAAATAATTCTCATTTTAATGAGATTTTGTTTTTTTTTTTTCTCTATATATTTATTTAACTTTATAATTTCATTTTAAAATGGTTTTGTTTTTATGAAATGTACAAACATATACACATTTAAATTTTATAATATTTACAGTTATAATCTCCGTTTAATAATGCGGGTATGTATACGTCTTATATAAAAAAATTTCTTATACAAAACACACGGAGTATAATAATATAGGGATGGGACAAATATTTTATGTATTGTACAAAATGTTCTTTATTTTTTTTTCTGTTGTTTTTTTGTATTCTTATTTTACATAATATTTTTATTTTTCATTTTTAATTAATTTCACATTACGATAATAAAATATGCTGTATATAGGTATATGTGTATTATTTTGTATTTATATGTCGGTATTTAAAGATGTGAAATTTAAATAAATATTATTGGTATATTGGTAGGTACTTTATATATAAATTAAGTAAAATTTAATAACTATTATAATGTATGTAGTAAAAGTTATGTGTATTTTTTAATGTAAATATTTATATATATATAGGTTCAAAATCCTTTACGTAAATACAAAAAGAATATTATATCATAATAATTATCATAATCCCGATTGCAAATGTTCGAAGAACTGATTTGAGATTTTTATGGTATTTCGGAAAAAAAAAAGTATTTTAGAAAATTAATTGTAATTATCGTTATCGATTAGTAAAATAATAAGTAAAAGAGAGAACAAAAGAACAATAATTGGAAAACTCATTATTCAAGAATGAAAAACATATGGCGTAAGAATGAAAAACGTATGGCGTATGTTATGGTATACAGCGCAAGTTGTGATACGTTAGTTATTAATATATTTAATTAATATAAATAGGAATTGTTTTCTGTATTATTTAAGCGCTTTTCATTCATCTATTGTATATAGAATCAAATTGCAAATCATGTTTGAATATTTTTCAAAATTTAATTTAAATATTTTTTGATTTAACTTTTTGCCCGCAAATCAAAATTGAATTTTGAATCATACACATGTAGAAAAGTAAACAAATATAATTTTATAAACAGTACTCGTATAACAAATCGATAACGAAAATCATTTTATATCTATGTACGAATGTATGTATTATTGCGAAAATTATGTAAGCATTATAAAATGTTCTCAAATATAGCCTCATGTATCCGCTAATTAAACTTTAAATAGTATACAATTATAAGAATTTTTGAATTTTGTTATAAAAAATTATATTGAAATTTTTTTTGTTTTTGTGAAAATGATGTTGAAGCTGGAAATGTTCTATGGTAACAGGTAGTACTTTTTAAAAGTTGAAAACAAAAACAATATCAAAATATCGAAATATTTGGTAAATTAATTATTTTTTGCTTCTCTCTTATTATAGTTTCTTTTGTTTTTGATTTCTCTTGTGTGTATTTTGCGTTTTTTTTTTCTCTTCTTCATCAATTAATTTTATTAACGTTTTGTTTTTCTTTATGTACTTATATAGGAGTAAAATTTAAAAAGTAAGGCCTCATTAAATCTTCTTATAATTTTTTTTTTTATTCTTTTAATATACAGTGTTTTTGTTTGTTTTTTTTTTTTTGCTAGTAAAAATTTCATTAATTTTTTGTTTTTTTTTTTCAATTTTAGTTAATGAAAATTTCTAAAATATTATGTGTTTTTCTGATAGAAGTCAACAATTTGAAAACTTATGATTTCTTAATTTTACAAAATGCAGGTAATTTTTGTTTTTTTTTTTTTATGTATGATATTTTTTTTGTATTACTTTTTTGTTTTTATGATTTTTTTCGTAGAAAAAATGAAGAAAAGAAATTTGTTTTTGAAATTATTGAAATTTTCTATATGATTTTGTATTTTTTAAATTTTGCTAAAATTTTTCATTAATATTTCAAGTTAGATTTTAAGAAAATTATTTATTTTTTTTTAAATTTCTTTTATTTTTAGTTTTTGTTTCTTGTTTTTAAGCCCATCCTGATAGAATTAAAATTGATTTTTATTTTATTTATGATTTTTATTTTTATACATAATTTTAATAATAATTTGCTTTTAAAGCGAATACAATTTTAAGAATCTATTCTTTATGTCTATATATTTTTATTTATACTTAATATAATAAATTCAATTAATTAATTAAGAGAAAAAATTAAAATCTAGAATATAGAAAGAAAAAAAAAAATTAAAAATTTAATTACAATTTAAAGTTTGATTGTAATTTTAAAAATTTTTAAAGTGGTTTTCTTAAAAATTTCCTAAAAGAAAAAATTAAATGAAAAATATTAAATTTAAATTCTTAAAATTAACATTGAAAATCAGAAATTTGATTTTGACATTCAGTTTGTATAAGAAATTTAAATTAATTTATTTTTTAATATTTTTTTTTTTTAATTATTTATGCTTTAATTCCGTTTTGTTTTTTTTTTTTTGGGTAAAGATTCCGATTGTCATTTAAAATACAACATATTATTTTTGTGTTTTGTTTTTTTTTTTTCATATAGTTTCAAATTTTTGTAAAAATTTTATTTGCTTTTAAACTGACTACGAATACTCTTAATATAGAAAACGATTTTTTTCCTATTAAATAATTAAATTTTTTTTCTTGTAATCAATACTTTTATTATATTGGCATAATTAAATTGAAATTCTATATATATTAAATATAATTTTAATGTATTTGTCATTTTGAAATAATTTAATTTTAATTTTCTACATTTTTAAAATTTTATAACTTATTAAATTAAATATAAATTTGAATATTTAAAATTTCTAATTCAGTTTTAAAGAACATTTAAAATTAATCTATAAATTTTATTTTTTTGTCTCAATATTTTTACTTAATAAGAAATTACTATTTTATTTATTTTTTGTTTTTTGTTTTACATAAATTTAGGCGTTTTCTTTGTTTTTTTTTGTTTCTTCTGTTCTTCTTTTTTTTTTATATAATATTTAGCATTTTTGATTGTAAGCCACAAATAAACCACTTTCAATTAATAATATAATATTATATATTTTTTATTTTCATATATTTTAAAATATATATGAATAAAATATTAAAAATAAAATATTTTAAATAAAAAAAGACTTTTATTTTAAGTACTGCTTGTTACAACCATGTTGGTGCTACTATTATTATTATTATTATTACTATTATTATGAAAATGATGATTATGATGATATTGAGATTGATGATGATTGTGATTATTATTATGATGATGATGATGATGAAGCTTATTATCATTTATTTTTTTAATATAATTATTGCTGCTGATAGTATTATTTTGATGATTAATATTACTTAAATTTGCAATAGTGTTAGTGCTTAATTTTATACTAATATTATTATTGTTTATAATATTATTATTATTATTACTATTACTGTTATTATTATTATTATTATTATTGTTATTATTGTTGTTTATATAAGTATTATTATTATTGTTATTAATATTATTGTTATTGTTATGCAGTTGATCATTATCTTGTGGTCGATGTGATTTCATGTGAGCACTTCGACTTTTAACTTTATTAAATACTCTGAAACAAAAACGATATAAAAAATTAATTATTATAATATTTATACATATATTGTTATAATTTTTTCTTTTAATATGTATATTTTATTTTTTAAAGGAAAAAATAAAAGAAAACAATTGAATATTGAAAATATTTTGTTAAGTAATGAATGAAGAAATCGCTTGTTAAATTTTATTTTTTTTTTTTTATTTTAGAATTTTGAAAAAAGGGTGAAATTTAATGTTCCATTTATTTATTTCAATTTCATATTTTGTAATATGGAAGAATGATTTGAAGTTATGTTAAACATTAAAGTGGAAAGAGAAAAATTTTTTTTTTATATAAAACAGTGATGGTAAAAAGTTAAGTTTGTAATAGAAAAACATTTATAAAAAAATTTTTTTAAATGCAAATTAATTATACACTGAAAGTAAAATAAAATGATAATTGAAAAAAAAAAAAAATTTTTTTTGTAGATGATTTTCGAATTTCAAAGTCAATTCGTCATAAATTTTGAAAATATTTAATAAAAATTAACAAAAATATTTGCTTTAATACAATTACGACTTTGATATTCTTTTATACTCATATTGTGTATTCAAATTATTTACAAAGTATTTTTTTTTAAATGTTCTTAAATGTTTTTTGAATAATTTTCGTAATTAGTGCAATTTTTTATTTATATTAAGTATACGAATTGGCATAATATTGAATGTAGTTTAAAAATTACAATTTAATAATGTATGTGCTTGGTTGAGGGTTATCAAATTTAACTATGTCTTTTAGTTATTGAACCTTACTTTATTAAGGCTTATATTTGGCTATTTTTTTCCAATAATATCAAGTGCAAGAATTTTATAAATTAAATTTAACATTTTAATCTTAATTGACGTTAGAAAAATGGAAATTTATGCATATATTTATCTATAATTCTTCCCTGCAAATTAATATACTATTGCACAGAGTCATAAATATAATAAAATACAGACATATAATGTACATAATTCCAAATAATGATTTATATTCCTTTTTGATTTTAATATTAATGAAGAATGAGCATGTACGTAAACAATGGATTATTCTGCACAAAACATCAAAACTTGTAAAAAATATTTTAAATTAAAAGAAATATCGAATTTTACAATATTATTCGGATATGAGAAAATTTCGTAACTTATCAAAAAATTTAATAATTTCTCTACGAAAATGAATTGTTATATACGAATTTTTTGCTTTCACGAAAAAGCAATAAAATAACGTAAAATTTCATAAAATTGTTTTTTTTTGTTGGAACCACCCGGGGACGCTACATCAATTTTATTTTACGTGTAAATAAAAGATAATATTAATTTATGTCGCATTATATAGTTCGAAAGATATTTATGGTAACATGTATAGCAGTTTTGTGCATTTTTCCTTTTTGTTGTCTACTATTTCAAAAATATATAAATTTTTGGCCAATTGGAAGATTTTTTATAAAAAAAAAAACACAAAAAACGAAAAAAAATTAAAGGTAAAAATTTAAGCAAAATAATATTATGAAAAAAATGAAATTAATTCTTAGGAATTAATGAGAAATAAATAATGAAAATAAAATAAAAATATTAAAATAAAAATACATATAATATGTATAATATACACTATAATGTATTTAAGAGTGAAAGCAAAACGAAATTAATAATGAAAAATTATATACCAACACGCACACATAAACATTAACACATCATATAATATTTATATGTAGATTTTTTTATATTTTATTCAAAAAAATTTTTTTAGTATAAATGATGAAAAGAGAGAATATATATATATATATATTTAATGCAATATTTACCATTAAAAACTACATAGAGGATTACCCAAAATGGCGCAGGTACGATTTATTATTGTTTTTTTTTTTTTTTTTAAATTTAATATTATTCATTTATTTATTAATTATTATATTTATTTTTTGTGATGTATTTATATATTTTGAATTTATTTTTATTTTATACAACCCGCACGCAATCAAAATAAATACATTTATTTTATAAAAAAATAGAAGAAAAACAAAGAAAAAAATATAAATAATTATTTTCAACAATAATAATAATAATAATAATAATAATAATAATAATTATAATAATAATAATAATAACAATAATAATAATAACAATAATAATAATAACAGTAATAATAATAATGATACTCGTAATAATAACAATAGTAATAATAATAATGACAATGATAATAATAATAATAACAATAATAATAATAACAGTAATAATAATAATGATAATAATAACAATAGTAATAACAATAATGACAATGATAATAATAATGATAATAATAATGATAATAATAACAATAATAATAATAATAATAATAATAATAATAATAATAATAATAATAATAATAATAATAATAATAATAATAATAATAATAATAATAATAATAATAATAATAATAACAATAATAATAATAACAATAATAATAATAATAACAGTAATAATAATAATGATACTCGTAATAATAACAATAGTAATAATAATAATCACAATGATAATAATAATAATAATAATAATAATAATAATAATAACAATAATAATAGTGATAATAATTATAATAATAATAAGTATTATAATAATAATATTTATAAACATAATAACTATAATAATAATAATAAATCTTACAAAATTAACTACAAACAAATAAAAAACAAAATTTATAATAATCGTAATAGAATAATAATATAAATATTTTTTTTTTAAATTTTATGTACAAAAATATATAAAAAAATTTTTTTTCAAATAGCCGAATTGGGTGTTCTTATATCCTATTATTATAATAATAATTATAAAAATATTTACAAAATTTTAAAAAATTTGGAAAAAAACAAAATTTATTCATTTTAAATAAAACTTTATATATTTATATGTAAAAAATTTCAAATTCATTAAAAATTCAAATTTATAAGTAAAATTTTGATAAAACATAAAATTTTATAACTAAATTAAAACTAATAAAAAAAAAAAAAACAATAAAAATATGTTATAGGATTATGGGGTGATCTTACTTGCCGCACACCTTGCACGGAAAATCATCCTTAATTGAACTTGTTGCTATTGTAGTTGTTGAACTCTGATGTGAAGTCACATTATGATTATTATTTGTTTGTCCAAATTGAAATACATTGACATTGTTGTTGTTATCATTATTATTGAAGCTATTATTATTGTTATTATTATGATGATTTCCGTTACTTGAAATAATTATATTTTTTGTTCCTATTTGGTGGTGATTGTTACTTTGATTACTTATACTCTTATTGTTATTATTAATATTATTGTTATTATTACTATTATTATTGTTATTATTATTATTAATATTATTATCATTATTATTAATATCATTGTTATTACTATTATTATTATTACTATTATTATTACTATGTGTATTATTACTAATACTATTAATATTATTATTACTATTGTTATGAGTGTTAGTGCTATTAATAGAATTGCTATTGTTGAGAATATTGTTGGTACTACTATTATTATTATTATTATTATTGTTATTATTAATAAAATGATGATTTCGACCAATACAATGCAATCTTGTATGACTATGCAAGGCTGCTTTTGAAGTAAAACTCTGTAAATTATACGAAAAAATTTAAATTTATAAGTTATAGTATTGTAAAAGATTTATTGAACTGTAGAAGCCTATTATATATAGAGTAAGATATTTCTTGAAAAAAATATATCACACTTACAGCTGAGCAATCAGGCATTTCACAGACATAAGGACGGTGTTCGGTATTTGAGTGTGATGAATTTATTTGTGATGCCGTTTCATCTGACGTATCACAGGTTTCTTGTTTTAAATGAGTTATTTTATAATCTACACATAATTTTTTCCAAAAATAATATAACTGAATACATTCTTTTGTAGTTTTAGTTTTAAGCTAAAAATTTAAAAAGAATTTTTTTTTTTAATTTGTATTTCATTTTTAAATATTCAAATATTCTTACATCATTTGAAATTCTATAAAAATCTTTTCCGTATTTTTCAAGGCCTTTTAGGAATGCTTCAATTTCATTAGCTGACCATTTCTCAGGAACAGCATTTGATGGTGATTGTAATAATGTTAAAACAGCAATATGAGTAAAACCATTCGCATCTAATAATGCTTTCAGCGCTACTTCTTCTGTATGAAAACCTAATGGTGCACCTGACGACTTAGTTAATTCAATAAAACGATTTAAGGTTTTTTCATCACAATCACTATTCCTATTTTCATTAATATTCGGGTCCCACATTATTTCATCATAATCTTCAGCAGTTACTTTTGAAAGAGACGACAATAATGATGTTTTAACAATAGATGTTTCTGATGTTTTTGTTTGTTGATTGTAATTAATATTATTATTTTGTTGTTGTTGATGAAGGAAATTTGTTGCCTGAGATGTCAAAGTTATACCGCATTCATTGTTGTTATTTATTTCATTTTCATTTTTATTTGGCTCGTAAGGCGGAATTTGGGCTTGATAGGCTGTGCCGATATTTACTTTAGAATCATCCAAAAATGCAACCAAACTACTAGCAGTGTCTTCGAATTCATCACCCAGACTGATTGTATCCTGCATTATTGATTTTGGTAAATTTGAGTACAATCCAGTACCTTTACGGTCAGGATTTAATATTGGTGCTGGAGTATAATGGGTTGTTGATGGTTTTCTTAATTTGGATCTATATACTTCTTGCTTTTTGGGAATATTACTATTTCCGCCGCTGCTACTTCCTTGACGTAGACGTCTCTTTAGTATGGAACTAGTTATTTGAGAAGTTTGTGCTATAGTTTGTGTTGATATTTGTTGACTTTGTGGCTGCGTTTGATTCAATTTCTGATTGCTTTGTGATGTTGAAGGTAATATTGTGAGAGTTGTTGTCGACGTTGGTGTATTGAAGATTTTTTGCTGTTGTTGTTGATTTTGCGTTTGGAAATTATTAAAATTTTGACCAGTGGCCGATGTTATGTTGATAATAGTTGGCAATGTTGATTGGCTTGTATTTGCCGCCGATGATGGCGTATTCAAAAATGTTTCTAAACTACTCGTATTTGCTAATATTATACAATTGTTGTCTTTTTGTTGTTGTTGCTGAACAGTTGAAAGTGATTGACTATTTTGTAAATTGTTGATTGCAGTGAGTGCTGTATAATTCGAAATATGATGTTGTAATTGTTGTTGCTGCGAATGAAGTTGTTGACAATTATTATTGCCAATCATAGTTACCACATTTGTAGCTGTGGAATTCAAAGGAAATGCGCAAAGCGACTCGTTCAATTTTGTATTTTTTGCGTTTGCTGTTGTTGTTGCGCACGTAAATAGTTGAATCGGATCAAATTTTTGTAATTGCTGCTGTAGAGAATTTGTTGATTGCGATTGCTGTGTTTGAATCGGTTGTACTATTAGGTGTTGTTGTTGATTTGATTGTGGTGATATTATTTGCTGCTGCGGATTAATTTGTTGCAGAAATATTTTATGGTGGCCAAAATCTTTTGGGGAAGAGGATAATAGTGGATCATCTGAATTTGGCATCATTTGTGATTGCAATGTTAAACCAGGTAGATAATACAAATCAATATCATTTTCACACTGACTTTCTGAAACATTTGTCTCTTCTAAACTTTCATTGGGTAGAACGTCTTTCAAAACTTCTTTAACTTCTTCAGCGGAGCCAATGCCACTCGTAAAAAATGATTCAGATAACGGTGAACTGGGATTCCTTGAATCGTCTAAGAAACTCTCTGGTTCGTCTAAAAATGATAAATTTTGATCACTAAAATCTTTTAAATCACATTGCTCATCTCCAGTAGCTTCATTTAATAAGTCTTCAACTTTAACGTGGGAATCGAACACGTCAGTTTCGAAATCGCCAGCATCTGCAACCCTATTAGCACCAACATCGCCGTTTTCTACTTCAAGGACACTTTTACTTTCATTGAATAACTCATTTTTTATACTTAATATTTTTTCAGATTCAGTTAAATCTGCATCGGAGTTATCTTTAAAGAATTGACTGGTACTATCTGTTATAAAATTGACTGATGATTTATCATCAAAGAATGCACTTGCATCTGGAAAATGGTGGGAATCGTCTAGGAACGGCGATGATTGAGTGATGGCTTCATGACTAGCCGGTGGGGTCGGATATGCCAATGGTGACGGTAGTGGTGAAATGGAAGGTGGCTGCGATTGCTGATGTTGATGTTGGGATGACAATGGTGAAGATGAGGATGCATTTGGTGATCCAATGGTGGAACAATGCGTATTATTACTACTGTTGCTATTATTATTTTGTGTTATAGATGTTGAATTACTATTATTGGAACAATTGTAAAGAACAAAGTCCTTGGAATGAAATGTACTGAATTCAGCTATATTATCAGGTAATGGTGAATTTAAAACATCTTGAATTTCTTTTGAATTCGAGACTGTGTTATAATCGTCCACGCAACTAATACTACCGCCTCCGTTTGAAGTTAAAGTAATATTACTATTATCGTCAGTGGTAAGATGTTCTGATGTAGATTCTTTTTTAAGAAGTTGTTGTAAATCAGCTATAGATGTTATTTGATTAAGTTGATCTGTACTTGGAGAATCGTTAAGTAATTGGATGGAATCGACAGCTTGTAAAAGCATTGCTGTATCAGACACACTATAAACATCACTGTCGCTAAAAAATGTTGATGATGAATCTGTTGAATATGTCAATGTAAAAACGTCACCAGAGCCATTTGGAGCTTGTGAAATCGTTAGTGCTAATGGTGCTGTTTCACCATTTGGTAAAGAAATAGACAATGGTGATCTTGAAGTTGCGTTTTGAGTATTTGACGTTGATAATGCCAAATCGGTTGTATTTGTTGTAACATTCGCAGATAAATTTGAATTTATTTGATTGTTGTGATTTGAAGTTGTTGTTAAAGAAGATGCTGGCAATAAAATCGTTTGGGTTCCATTTGTAGTATTAAATATTTGGCCAGGATCAGAACAGGTACGTTTGACTGCTACTTTTGTTCCACGCTTCAATAACTCGATTAGTGTCGCATCTTTTGATTCTGTTGATGTTCCTTGACTTATTGTACTTATGCTTGTAATTTTTTGTAAGGTTTGCTTTTGTAATTGTAATGTTGTTGCATGTATTTGAACATTTTGATTTGCTGCAGCAGTTGTTGTTGTAACTTGATTCGCTGATGTTGGCGTTAATGATGTTGGAGTGTTTAGTGATATTGTAGCTGTTGTATTATTGTTACTAGGACTAATAGTTAACGAAGGATTTTTTGGGGTTAAAAATGAATTTTCAATTTCATTTGCACGTCTAATGGTAGTTGCTAAAGGTGGGGCAGGTACTACAAAGGCACCCTACAAAACATAAAAAAAAGGAATCAAATAATATTAGAAAGTTATTTGAACAGATCTATTTGATATTTACCTTTAAATCTTTACATCTTTTACTAATAATTTTTTCTTCAATCAGAGCTCTTACGCCTATACTAGCTGTTTGCAAAGGTGGTCCACTTGTCTCTTTTTTTTCACATTTTTTCGTTTCAGTTTCTTTTTTGAAGTAACCTCCATGCAATCTCATATGACCATTCAATGCTGGAATATTTTTAAATTTTCGATGGCATAAATTACATTCAACAGGTTTTTGTTCTATTTTAACAATATTTAATGTATGTCCAACTGGAGTTGTTGATGTTGATTGATTGTGTTGAGTTGTTTGATTTCCTTGTGATGCAGTTGTTGTTCCACTAGTTGTATTAATTGTAATTCCACCATTTGTAATTGTTGCTGTTGTTATACCATTTATATGGTTATCATTTGTTTGTGTTGACGATAATTTTGACTGTTGTTGTAATTGTGTCTGAAATTAAATATGAAATTTGATATTTATATTTTTTGCATTATTTACAAAAAGAATTAATAAATGAAAAATATTGAGGATTCTCATTAATTATATTTATTTTTAAATTTCAAAATTTTTTTCTCCCATTTCAAGACGTAGATCGAAGAAGAAGTCAACTTTATATGAAATTCAAACTCTTGTTCAATTACGAATTCGAATTTGGATTCTATTAAGGATTTTTATCTTTACTAAAATTTTTATTTGATTCCAATAAAATGTTTAAAGAAATTATTTATTAAATTGTATTTAATATTCTAAATATAAATCCTTATATTCTTTGTTTTTGTAAGATAAATAATATGACCGGAAAAACGATCACATAAACATCATAAATTTTAATTTGCTTTAAAGTTGAACGTTTTAAAATAAATCATTCACAATTAAAGCGGAATACCTTAGGAAATAAATTTTTTAAAGGAAATAAAAAAAAATTCTTTTACCTTTTTTAAAGACTTAAAATTTATGCATGTTTTATATGAAAATAAGCTTTTATCTGAATATACACATATATTTTTTGTATATATATATATATATATATATATATATACGCATATTCCCTTAAAACGTATTTATAACACTTGCAATTTTTATTTCCTTTTCTTTTCTCTTTTAAAATTCTTTCAATTTTCGTTCTTTTTTCTTATAATTTTTTTTTATATTATTTTTATAAAACGAGTGAACCAAATACAAATAATCTCTATTTAATTTTATCCTTAAAGTATCCTTGCCATAAAATTTTGGGTAAAATGAAAAATAATAATAAAAATACAAAACAAAAACAATGAGAAATTCAAAGAAAGAAAATCTTACAGATACAAGGAATACGAGTTTTATTTTCAGTTTCATTTAATTCGATTAAAAATGAAAGGAAGTTAACAAAAGAATAAAATAGAGGAAAGAAACGAGAAAGAATAAAATAAAATGAAAAAATAAAAGCAAAAAAAAATAATCTTAACAAGGTAGGTAAAAGGTGAGTAAAAAAAATTATCTCTTTTTTTTTATTATTTTTTTTTTTATTATTATTTTTTCATTTATTGTTTTCTATGGGGTAGCTTTCACATGTACTCTGATTTCAATTTACTAATACAAAAATGCGAATTTTTGTAAGATGCATTCAAATATATGTGTTTAATATTACGAAGAAAATTGGCGTGTTTAAAGGTTAATATACAGGAGAATCAAAGGAAATTACTAGATAATATTTTTGGCAATGGCAAATTCGGAAGCAACATTTTTCGAGTAAAACTCTCCTCTAGTGTGTTTACCATTGTCATTATTCTAGTGCCACTATTGTCACTGATATCTAGTAATATTACGACTATTAATAATTTTGGAAAGGGTATTGATTTAAATTGAAGTTTTTCCTGTGCGAGAATTTTTTTGAAATTGAAGAAGTTCAAGTGATGATAATTTTAATATTAAGTGAAGTAATGATAATTTTAGATTTGTGCAAAATTATTCATTTTTGGTAATTTGCAATTTCAATACCACTGTAAGCAAATGCTGTGAAAAAACTGGTTTTTGCTTTCATAATAAATTCGAAAAAATAAAAACTAATAGTTTTCTACTAATTCTATAATTTTATGAATTTATTGTTAGATTGATTATTGGTACGTTTAATGAGAAACTGTTCTTGAATTTTCATAAATTCCTAAATTGTATGGTAACTTAATATATGTACTTATATAGTTATAATGCCGATTGTGATTAAATATTAATCAGGGTAACCAAAGAAATTTTGAAACTAAAAGCATTTATTTTTGAAATTATAAAACAATTTGGCTTTTTTTTATATTAAGGAATTGTGATCTAATATTAAGGTTTCGGAACGTTATAATAAATCAAAATCTTTTTCATTGATTAAGTTCATAATTCTTAATAAATATAGGATTTTCTTTGGAAATGTTACAGTACAGAGATCTCTCCAAATACGACAACTATAATAAAAATTTTAAATTCAACGAAACACAATTTAATTTGCACTTTATGTGACTTTCCAAATCGAATTCAATTAGAGTATATTTCGCTAGTTAGAGTATACATATGTGCTCTTTATTACAAACCAATTATAATATTAAAGTTTAAGAATTGAAAATGTTAATGAACTATGTTTGAACAAAATTTCTCTTTTATCTTTTCTGAATTTTAGATTAAGTATTTGCCATTACAATTATAATGTTTTTAATTTGTCTTGATTACTTATATAGTCAGATTTTTTTCAATTATGAAAATAATCTTAATTTGACACACGTGTTGAATATTTTTGTTTCTAAAAATTTATTAAGGTACTTAAAATCAGTTAAAAATCGCATCATGTGAAAGCGATCGTATATATTGCATGATATTTATGTATTCATACTTAAGCTTAAATATGAAAAGTCCATAGAATAAACGTATATTCACTTAGTTAATGTTTATAGGAATACACCTTGAGTATGAATATATATATAGGGATGTGTATATACATATACAAATGTATAATGACACAACAATAAAGTTAATACTTATAAAATGAAATACTTTTTTTTTTCTTCTTCCCTTTATATTGTTTATTTTATCTCTTAAGGGAAAGAAATTTCGAAGAAAAGGAAGTCCTAATCGAACAAGATTATTCTTTGAACATTGCGTTGTTAAAGAAAAAGAATAATAATAAAGAAAATAAGAATAACGAGATAAAAAAAATGGTAAGGGTAAAAAATAAAAAAAAATTTAGAATTATTTTTTTTTTTCTTTAACGTGAATTTTGTCTTAAGCACTTCAACAAGCAGTTCAAATCAGAATAAGTTCATTGTACAGCAAACAAATAACGAAATTTGCTTAGCAACATTCGAGTAGATTAAAATGTTGACAAAATTTTATACGAAAAATAAAATATAATTTTATATTTTTTTTTTGGAAAATTTTGATTTTGCTTGTAGGTTAGGGTTTATCATAGGATTGTTGAAAAATAATAAACATACTGTACGTTATGTATGCCACATGTTCCTATGTATGTGAACGCAAAGTTGTTAAAATATGTAAAAGTCAGAAGAGAAAGGAAAGGCCGCTACAATCTGTTTTATACAAGAAAGTTATTAGCTTTGTGTGTAAAAAACAAAAACGATTTTCACAAGCTATTCAATAAGCTATCGATTACCTAAATAATTAAGGAAAAATTTTATTATCGTTCATTTCTTTTCGGGCCTTCTGAATCTCAACTAACGCCGGATACATCTATCATAATATTAAATCATCCTAACAGATATATTTACAGCTTTATATCAATTATTACATTTTTAAAATTATACAGAGATTTATGTTACAATTTTAAATATAATTAAAATTTCGGGATAAAAGTACTGAGCTTTAAAATTTATTTACAAGCATTAAATTAAAAAGTTAAAAGCCTGTTTGTTTACAGGAAATTCAAATAAGCTCTGAAAAAATTTTCAAAATTTTGGCCAAATATAACAAAGTTTGTATACTTTTCATTCCAGCAGAGAGAATAATTTAAAAATTTATTTTTGTCCATTATTATTACAAAATTAAATAGACAACACGTGTTAAGACCACGAGAGTGTAAATGTTAATTAATTTTTAAGGAAAATAATATGAAAATAGGTAAAAATCAAACGATTCTTTTGTATTTTGGAGTGATAACAGTATGTTAACTATTACTCAACATTCACTAATTTTAACTCAACATTTTCGTAGCAATTATAAATAAATTATAACTAAGATATTGATGTCTCATAGCTGTGAAGTTCCAAGTTTGTAGATATTTTTCCATAGCTAACAAAATTTTTATTTTATTTAAATTTATTTTGCATTGAAATTTAATTTTAAAACTTTAGTAAATTCCTAAATTTTCTAAATAATCTATTTCAAAAGAACTAAATTGCAAAATTTTTTAATCATTCTTATATTTTTTAAATGTATGTAAAGCCCCCATACATAAAGTTTTGGTCTGCTTTATTGAGAAATTTTACTATGCCTACATTTTTACAAAAAATTTTCTAATTATATTTTATTTGTTTAGTATTTTTGGTTAAAAAAATAAAATGCCGGCTAATTTTTAATACTCCTATCTAGTTCTAAATTTAATAGACATAATAGATGGCTGGTTGTATATGCGATAATTTGTTTCAAAATATAGACTTACATATAAAATCTAAAATACTTTTTAAAACTTTCTAATATATTAATAACATATAATATACAATATAACATATAGGTACCGTCAATAAAACAAAGTAAAGTTTATTTTATACGGGTATATTAATTTATAAGAGAAATTGTTAACAAACAAAAAAAAACGAATAAAATAAAAGACTTACGTATATAATTATATTGATGATGAACATAAGGAAGAAATAAAAAATAAAATAAATAAAAATCGCAGAAAGGTATAATGGTATCTTGCTTTCTGCAATTTATAAATAAGTACCAGGGCTGATATTGACAAAAAATTTTAAGTAAAGTGCTTAAAAAATTTCAGGAAATTGTACTTTAATATTGAATTGTTCCTGATTCTTGTAATTCTCCATCCTTTGTGATGATCCATCCACAAAATGATTAAAATGGCACAAGAAATAAAAGTAAGATAATTTTAAGTTGCAAAATTAATAGTTTTAAAATTCAAAATTGCACAATCTAGTTGTTTCGTTGTTTATATGTTTTCTATCATGTGCAAAAAAATTTGAGTTTAAAACTGAAAAAAATTCGAAAATTTAATAGAAATTGCAAATATATTTTTCAAAATTTTCATGTTCATTGCTCATGTTTATTGCATGATATAATTGGACACTTATTATTGAACATTTCAACTAGAAAGCACATAAATTATTAGTAAAAGTACAATTGTACACGAACATTTTATCTCTGACAAATCTTATATTCTTATAAATATTAACAAATCCAGATACAAATATACCTATATTATAATGCTCTGTAGCATACTTTATAAAATATGTATTTGT